TTATGACTATGCTTGTGATTACGACTATGTAAATGTTGTATAAACCCGGCATAACTTGTGCAAAGGCCTAATTATCACTTAAAAAAATGTATCATTTCTAACTTTCAAGAAATCTTGAATTCAAGAAATCTTGCAAGACTCTTGAAATTTCTTGCATAATAAAGTCTTGAAAGTCATAAAATTTTGAAAGTCTTGTCTTGAATTTCTTGCAAGAGTCTTGGTCTTGCAAGACTTTTTCAAGACTCTTGTGCAACACTACATATAACTGCAAACACGCTTCCTAATTCTTCCCTAGTTGTCACCCGGTATGTTATTAGCTTCGTTACATTAATATAATCAATCGCTAAAATTTAAGTGTCCGATGTTTATGTTAAAGTTCCTTTAATATATTGTGAGACAAAGTACTAGTCTGAATAAAAATCGTTTGGCAAATTTCCATTGTTTATTGAAATATTTATATGCAACGTTTCGACTATTGCAATTTTTTCTAGTAGGTGAAAAGTCAATATACTATTATTATTTTTTTTTTCCTCTAAAACATATAATATATTACGTTTACATTTATAATATTTTACATTCAATTGCATTTTTTTTGTCACAAATAATTTTTGTTAGATTCCATTTTATATATTTATTTATTAACTTTTGGGATACAAACAGAACAAAGGTTCCATTACAGTATCCAATTTCAAATAAAAAAAAACGATTTCAAATAAAAAAAAACAGATTTGGTATGTTAGTATATGACATAAATTAGGATTGATTACTTATTCACTTATTCAATAATTATTTTCGATCACTTACTGTTTCACCAGAAATGACTACAAAGAATTTTGGTTTTTCGGGTTATTAGGCCGTCGTCGGTTAGAATTGCTTCCTAACGTTTCGCTAGCACGAGTGGCTAGCATCTTCAGAGGTGTGTTTGCTCCGATTGCTCACACTAGACTGATGCCTCCGCGTCGGCGTAGCGCGTATTTATGCGTCGGCGGAGGGGGCGTGGCTTGTTGGGTGGTAGTTCTTCCGTAACTGGTCTACTTCTCTGTGCTGCTACTTTGGTCCTAGATATAGCTGGATGCCAAATTCTGTTAAGGTAGAACGTTTCTTCCTTCCTGTTGAAATTATTTGGATGTTTGTGAATTTCAACAGCTTCTCTGACCAGACGAGGATGATATCCAGATGTTGTGGCAATGACTTTGGGTGTCTTTGAATTGGATTTTGTGGTCACCATCTCTTAGAGCATGTTCTGCTACGGCTGACTTCTCTGTTTACCCTAATCTGCAGTTTCTCTTGTGTTCCGTAAGTCTCGTTTCTACTGAGCGTTTGGTAATTCCAATATATACGCTACCGCAGGAACAAGGTATACGGTAGATCCCTGCAGAGGATAATGGTTCTCTTTTGTCTTTTGCTGGTCTTAAGCAGTCCCTTATTTTTCGGGTAGGTTTGTATATGGTTTTGATGTTATGCTTCTTGAGAACTTTACCAATCCTATCGGTGACCTGGGAAACATATGGAAGGAAGGCCTTATTAATGATGTTTTCCTGTTCATTGGCGTCAGGTCTCCTCTGCCTAGGTGCCAGCGCCGCCTTTATTTCTCTGTCATTATAGCCATTGGCAAGAAAGGCTTTATTTAAATGACTTAGTTCCTCTTGGATGTGTTCATTAGCACAGATACGTCTTGCCCTATTTGCTAATGTTCCGATAATCCCCTGTTTTTGGCTTGGATGGTGATTTGATAGTTTGTGTAAGTACCGGTCTGTATGAGTGGGTTTTCGATACACGGTGTGATCCAAAAGGTCGCCATTTCTCTTGACAAGCACATCGAGGAAGGCCAGTTGGTTGTTTACTTCGGTTTCCATGGTAAATTTTATGCTCGGGCTCTGCGAATTAAGGTGATGAAGGAAGTCATCTAGGCTGTCACGTCCATGTTTCCAAACCACAAATGTATCGTCCACATAACGAAACCATACAGCGGGCTTCAGAACGGATGACTCTAGCGCTTTTTCTTCAAATCTCTCCATAAAGAAATTAGCAATTATTGGGCTGATTGGGCTACCCATTGCGACACCTTCTGTTTGTTCGTAGTAATTGCCGTTCCATAAGAAATAGCTACCAGTCAGACACACTCGGAAGAGCTCCGCGATGTCAGGTGGGAATGATTCCTTGATTAGATCCATTGACTCGCCTAGGGGTACTCTCGTGAATAGAGATACCACATCGAAGCTTACCATGATGTCAGATGGTTCCAGTTTTATATCTTTTAGCTTTTGGACGAAATGCGTTGAGTCCTTCACATAAGAGTTTGTGTTGCCGACTTTCGGTTGTAGGATCGTAGTCAAGTATTTAGCTAAGTTGTAAGTAGGCGATCCTGGAGCACTCACTATCGGTCTAAGTGGGACACTAGCTTTATGAATTTTTGGTAGTCCATAAAGGCGTGGTGGTTGAGCTTCCGAGTTAATTAATTTTGATTTCAGATGTTCCGGGAGTGAGGAGGCCTTGATGAGTCTGTTGGTGTTTCTGACAATTAAGGCAGTAGGATCCTTCTTCAGTAACTTATAAGTCTGGGGCTCCAGTAGATCCTCGATTTTGGACCTATAATCCTCAGACTTCATTACTACCGTAGCATTCCCCTTGTCTGCCGGTAAGACCAGAATGTCCTTGTCAGCATTCAGCGATTTTAGAGCCTGATGTTCTTCCCTAGACAGATTACTTTTTGGAGCCTTAGCAGTTCTCAATATGTTGACCGTTTCAAATCGGATTTCGTCTGCGATACTGTTAGGAAGGTTACGTATGGCAGCTTCTGTTCCGGCAATAATGTCTTCCACTGGAACCACTTTCGGTGTTATGGCAAAGTTTCCTCCCTTCGCTAATAATGTTACTTCTGATGTCGTAAGGGTCTTATCTGTGAGATTCACCACGGTTCGAGCAGGTTCAAGAGATATCCTATATTCCGGCTTGGTTTTTGGTTGCAGTTTTTCATATTTGATCTTCTGGCGAGCTGATGTTCTTTCCAATTCATTTTGCATATTTTGGTATGTTATTCCGTCAATCTTGTCCCAGTCTACAGGTTGCATGTTGGCGGTAAGGATATAAAATAGGTCGATCAATTCCCTGTCTACCTTTGCTAAGTCTCGTCTAGATGTATGAATCCTCTCACGAAGAAAATTATGGAACAGTAGGAACGAGACTTACGGAACACAAGAGAAACTGCAGATTAGGGCAAACAGAGAAGTCAGCCGTAGCAGAACATGCTCTAAGAGATGGTGACCACAAAATCCAATTCGAAGACACCCAAGTCATTGCCACAACATCTGGATATCATCCTCGTCTGGTCAGGGAAGCTGTTGAAATTCACAAACATCCAAATAATTTCAACAGGAAGGAAGAAACTTTCTACCTTAACAGAATCTGGCATCCAGCTATATCTAGGACCAAAGTAGCAGCACAGAGAAGTAGACCAGTTACGGAAGAACTACCACCCGAACAAGCCACGCCCCCTCCGCCGACGCATAAATACGCGCTACGCCGACGCGGAGGCATCAGTCTAGTGTGAGCAATCGGAGCAAACACACCTCTGAAGATGCTAGCCACTCGTGCTAGCGAAACGTTAGGAAGCAATTCTAACCGACGACGGCCTAATAACCCGAAAAACCAAAATTCTTCAAACGATGGCCGCGAAAGCCTAAACTACTACAATGACTACAAATTTCGATTTTTAAATGACACCTTTGGTATTTTTTTACTTCATTTGATAGAAAACGACATTCTGAATAGAATTACATACCATATGTCAACTTTTGACATTTTCGATTAAAAAAAATTGCATTTTAAATTTTAAATTAGAGTGCCATGGCAATAAATATAACGACAATTTGACTCGAAATAGCAAGTGTGTGGTACCAAATTATTCGTAAAAAAATTCTTTTTCCAAATATGCTAATGATCCACCCTCGTTCCATTTGGAAAAATTGAGATATGATTAAAAATACGATATGGGCATCTTTTAATCGGCCAAGGCAAGATAAGAAAAACATTAGACGATCAAATCTATTTTTCCAAGGCTCCTTGATTAAAAATTAGTGTTTTTAATACAGCCATGGCACTCTAGATTAAAATTTTTTGATACGTTTTGTTAGAACAAGTAAGACCGATAGAAAAAATTTTAGGTGGCAGTTGTATCGCTCAAGCCACCTGTGCAAATCTTATTTGTGCAGGTATATCGGCACGTATGTGAGAAGATCCTGCGCAAACTTCGAAGCCTGAACCTATGTATGCTCGTTCATATTTTTGTTTTTTTTTTCAATTTGTACATATTTTCGGTCCGTAGATTAGATATTTTCAGTTTATTATTAATTTATTAACTGGAATCAAAATTTGCCGATTTGTAGTAAACAGTTTTTATACCAACTTACTGAATTGTATAAAATCATGCCAAGTAGACGGAAAATAATAAATAAGGATTATTGTGACAGGAATAAAAAAATCCGAAGCTTATGAACACTTCATATACTAGAAAAATTAAAGAGATTTAATTGGAAGCAGTTTTTAAAAATATTTAATAATTGAAGAAGTTCTGTTAGAAACAACTATACATAGTAATAAAACTAGCCAAACTGGCCTGCACAATCAATCTGTGCTAAAGAACTGAGCGCATATGGGGGATCTTATACATGACAATTTTGCTAAAGATGATAAGCGCAGATCAGATGATTTGCGCAGTCTAATTGTCACTAATTAAAAAAATAACTATTTGTTATTAATAACTATTATACGTATATTAACTAATAGTTATTTCTGATAAATCATTAGTTTTTTTGAAAAAAAATCTTTACGTTTAATGTTTAATCTAAATGTTAATATAATTAAATAAATCTATTGTGCTACCAAGTAGACAAAATATTTTACTTATTTCAATTTCAGATTGATAGGTGTTTTGTTTATTAAATCTAAACCAAACATCAGATTTAATCCCTTTTTCAGTCGTTATTGCTACGTTTACGAACCTGAAATCGAATGGCGTCTCTTACTGCTGCCTCTCTGCAGGATATGGTTGTAAATGCTCATCGCCATACCACTCACTGTAAGCCCCATGCGAGATATATCACATTAATGGCACATTCATAACATACATTCCACGACAAAGGCTTTATGTTTCGCATTCTAGACATACGCGTAGTGTATAGATCAAAACAGGTCCGAAACTCGGTTTCGAGTATCTTTGTTTAACCTCCACAGGCAACATTATCCTTCTTTTGAGCCTTTGTCGAAGAATTTCTTTACATAATTTATGTACAACAAAATTACATACATATTTTCTTAGTATTTGTTAAAATGTTAGTAAAGAATGGATGAAAAAAATTAAGTTGATGTAAAATTAATTATCAAGCAACATAATGAGTAGCTGTAATGGAATAGCTCAAAATGTTGAAATATTATTATGAGGTATACACCAAACAATGAATATTACAGATTATTATTGCTACTTAATCTGATTTAATTGAGTTTTGAAATATAGAAAGAATTAACGTTTGAAGCAGCAACAATATCGGTAATGGCAACGAATAACATTAAACCAAAAAATAACTTGCTGAAGCATCTCTATGTACACCTAAGTAATAAAAAAATAAACCATACCAGTAGTAGAAGTGGTAGTGGTGGTTACTGGAGAGGTGACGTTACTTTCGGACGTAGTGCCATCTAGAAGTTAATTAAATAGTTTATTAAATTATTTGGTTAAGGAAAGACATTGTTAAAACAGAAAATATTATGTCACATGGGGTTTGTGGTTGTGTTCTAATTTAATGTGTTGGTAGGCATGGTTGATTTGATAACTTTTGTTTTTTTTTATCTGTGTAATTATGATTGTCGACATCGTATAAATTAGTTACTATAAATTATAAAATATTCATTCGCATGGTACATATATCGGTATATCTCACTTAGCAAAGTTTTAAATTGTAGAATAGTTATCAGCTATTTCATTTCTCAATATGTAATATTGATCTTTATGTTAATGCTATTATTGAATCAGCATTTCTTACTTTGAAATTTTATGAAAACCTCAAGGAAAACACTATTCGTAATAAATTAAAATAATAATTTTGAACTAATAAGTATTGTTTGATATCATATAACGTAAAAAATGCAAGACTGCAAGAGTCTTGTGTGCTTGGTCTTGCAGATCAAACGCTAGTCTTGGTCTTGCATTTTGTGCAAGACCGCAAGGCCGATACCAGTTTTGCTCATCACTATCCATAAAATATAAATATGAAAAAGAATATATGCCTGTATTTTTCTTTGAATAAAGTATGGAAAGTTCTTGTATCAAAAGAATGTATCAAAGAAGAAAGTTATTCAGAATTCGATCTCACGTCTATATGGTAATTTTCAGAAATATAAGAACAAGAATTTTCAAAGAAAAAGAAGTTTTTTTTAAACTACCATTTTTAAAGGATTTAAAAAATATATGTTTTTCCTATAAATAGCAGATAATAAAGCGAATCTGGCGAATCATAGCCCTTAATGCGATAGATAATACAGACAAAATATATACGAAATAAAAATCCAAAGAAACGAAAGAGGAAAATTCCTCTATCCAAGAGGAAAAGTTGTGTTGGTAAAGTTTTTTTTCTTTAGGCTATTGCAAGTTCGTTGTTCAGAAGATTAACTTTATTATTTCCTTCGAGATTCATTAAAGGATAGTAAGAAAATAGAATTAAGAATTGATTAAATTATTAAATTCATTTTATTTATAAAAAAATACTATTTTTACTAAAATGACTGAAGAAATAGTATCAAATCTAGACAGAAATGATCTCAATTTAAATATCCCGCCTTGTAAGTCTATTTTTGTAGATTCCCGATAGATGAATGCCCAAAATTTGTTCGAGTTTTATTCTATTGAGTGTACGTTACTCTATTAGTACGTTATTATACGTACTAATATAGTAACGTTTGTGTAAGTATACGTATACGTTTTGTACTATCTTTTGTACTGCGATGTAAAGACGGATTTGATGCATCCGTTAAGGCGGAGTCTCATGCATCCGAAATTCGATGGTACGACATCCGAAATTTGAAGTTATCGTGTGAAATAAAAAAAGCCTGTCACATATATCCGAAAGTTCGTTCCGAAATATGACAGTTTTGACATTTAGACCTGTCATTCCTATGTATTATTGGAGAAACACTTATAAAAATAACTTCCTCGCCAAATATCCCGAAATTGCCCACTTCCCACTAAACTTGATTTTAAAAACCAATGTTTTCAAAAAAAGTGAGGTTAAAAAACACACGATACCGTACAAAAGTTAAACAAAATTTAACTTTATACGACGTATAAAGTTAAATTTTGTTTAACTTTTAGTTAAAAATATCGGATAAAAATTGGTGTCAAAATATTTCGACCAATAGGAGCACCGTCGGATCGTCGTGTCATCGGATTCCGGATGCATGAGACTCCGGCTTTATACGTTGATACGACCATCCGACGGAGCTCCGATTAATCATTGGCATTTTCGGGCTTCTTTTCACCTAAATTTTTTTAAGCGCTGTTCGTGAAAGTTAAAAATTTAAATTATCGTACGATAATGGATATTTTGACAACTGTAATCTAACCGTTCTTTTTGTTGACAAATTTACTACATTTATTCCTATCAGGAAGTGGATATTCTCTTCCAGCTTATATAAAATTTTACATTTTAAAGAATGGGTAACAAATTAATAAAGTGATATGGAAATGGAAACAAAAAATGATTGGGAATTGTCAAATACTCTTAACCAATCACAAGCAGTATGTCAATAAAATGAATATCGTAATTGTGTCAAGCAACTTTAGGAGCGATCAACTCATAACCATCAATTTGAAGTTGGTTAAAGAATGCATAGAGTAGCTGAACAATTTACAAAGAAGATAAAGTCTTCCTGCTCTGGGTGCCAGCGTACAAGGTAATGAAAAAGGAAACGAATTAGCTAGAAAAGGAGCAGACACTCCATTAACTGAACTAGAACCGTTCAGCTTCCCAAATGGAAACCAACTTAAAACGGAACTTATGAACCTGGAAGACTCCATCCGTAACCAGGAATGGGAATCCTCCAACCCTCCAACGGTCTAAGACACTCGAGGAAATTTTATTATTAGAACGTACGATATTGATTTAAGTAACCACAATTTTCGGATTGTTAAGGGGTTTTTAACAGGACACTGCCTCCGCAATCAACACCTCAGTAGATTGAAGCTAAGAAACAACCACGAATTCACAGATCACAGATTCTGTGACGAAAATGGGGAAACACCAGAACACTTTATCACTGAGTGCGTCAAGACGACAACCATTCGTGCCATAAAAGAGAGAATTAAGGCATTACTCACAGACACGGGAATACTCAAATCTCGGATACTAGATAACTGGGATACGGATACCTAGTTCTCTGTCATACTCAGACAGTCACGACTCAAATTGTGCGGGTTTCATATCAAAAATAATTACAATGTTTAGTTACAGTAGTGATGATGATATAATTATTCAATATTATTATTACCGTCCCAGAAGAAAAATAGTGAGAAAATACTGTTTACATCCTTATATCAAAAAAAATATTACATCCTTAAAGGAACAGAAGAAGCCTTTCAGTTTATAATTAAATAATACAGGAAATTTTTCCACTTCGCCCACAAACTTCACATTAAACGCTTGTTCGCTCACAACGCCGACGGAGAGGAGGATACTAAAATGCTAAGCAACTGGGCTACTCAGCGACCGGCGTGTGTCCCGAGGTTCCTAGTCTCTGCGTAGCGCCGCGATCAAGTCTTCACGACTGGAGTTTCTCCGTCTGAGCGCCACCACATAATAACATATAACGCGTTTCCAAGTCGCCGAGTATCCCAGTCCTTTCGAGATTTGAGTATCCCCGTGTGAGTAGTGCCTAACCTCTGTATAACTGTCTCAGATACTGGCTTTTGTCAAATCCCTGTAGCTCTGATACTGTATAATGAGTTGTAATTAAAGGTATCGTCGAGACTCGTCTGGGAATGCATAGATTAATTGGGAGCTCTGGCTGGAAGGAACAGAATTAAATTATTCTGGGTGCCGGCCCAGAGCGGCATCCAAGGCAATGAAAAAGCCGATGAGCTAGCTAGGCAAGGATCATCGGCATCCTCTCTTGGCCCAGAGCCAGTACTGGGAATACCCAAATGTATGGCCCGTAGTGCACTAAAACTCTGGATCAGGGAAAAGCAGAATGTCCACTGGAGAAACAGATAGGGGCACAGGCACAGCAAGGATTTTATCCAAGGACCTAGCTCTAAAACCCTAAAAGAACTGCTAACACTAGCAGGAATATAGTGCGGATGACAACAGGCCTCTTGACAGGACACATGGCTGTCAAGTGTTACCTGAACAAGCTCAACCTGTATCAAGGAAGTCTTTGCTGCAGACTGCGATAAAGATGCTGAAACAGCGGAGCACATAATATGTCTGCGAGGCTCTGGATCGCAAGCGACACTTTTTATTTGGGAAAATTAGACTAGAATCGGAGGAATTATGCTCCCATCCTATCAAGAACCTGCATAAGTTAGTACAGGGTACATGAATAGCAGAATGGGTGCAGATATAGAAAGGGGACAAACACAATAGGCCTCACAGGTCGCAGTGTTCAGAGTCATCTGCAGTCCTGCAGAGGACGGTCCCTTGTTACTAAAAAAAGCCTTGACACTGTATGATGAGTTATAATTCAAGAAAAGGGTCAAAATAGATCTATAAGGTTGCGGTGATTAACTTTCTTCCCATACACCATACAAGCTACAATCTAATCGTATTTTCGGTTATCGGACGCCTGAAAATCCTGCTTGAATAGGCGCCTAGGCGCAGCCCGGCCCTGCAAACCCGTGTCTGTGTTATCCACGTGCCGACTGACGTCAACGCCGCCCCGCGCCGCCCGAACGGTATCGCACAGCTCAGCGTCTGGACTGGGAAAATTGTACGTACGTGTCGTTGCAGATTCGGTTATTTTCATATTAATGCCGTCGCTGCAAGTCTACCGTGGAATTTACAAACAACCGCCGCCGACGTGAAATACGTCTGTGTGTGTGCGAGCGCGAATATATGATCGTATTAAATGATACGGACGGGCGGAAAAAGTCAATGGGACGTAGACACAACATTGTATCGAATAACTGAAAGAGGATACACTACACGTATTTAAGTTCAAAAACACTGCCCTGTCGCGCCTTTTAATTATGACAGGATTCAGAAAATTTGTAAAAATTATTATTATTCCTGTATACACGTAGTACTATGGTTTTAACACCTTAAAGTAGAATTCAAAAACCTGGAAGACTCCATCCGTAACTTGCCGTAACCAGGATGGGAATCCTGCAACGGTCTGACACTCGCAGACTTACGACCGAGAAAAATGAATGATTTTCCTTGATTTAAGTAAGACAAATCTTCAGATTGTTACGGGATTTTTTACAGAACACTGTCTCCTCAATGAACCATGAACACCTCAGTAGATTGAAACTAAGAAACAACGGCGAATGCAGATTCTGTGGCAAAAATGGGGGAACACTACAACACCTCATCACTGAGTGTGCCGAGATGACAACCATTCGTGCCATAAACTTTGGTACGACTGATATCGCAGATGGAGAACTAACCTCTGTAAAACCGTCTAAGATACTGGATTTTGTCAAAGCT